GGGCTCTTGTGCAAGGGGTATTAGGGTTTTAGAAACAGCCACTCACAAGAGAAAAAGGCTTCGCATTCTCATGTGGGGGGTTTCCGACTTCTTGGGGTCCTTCTTGAAAGGGGATCCCAGTATTTGGGGGGGCTGTAGTCAAACCTCAGCACGGCCACCGAGACTCAAGTCTCGGTCTGTCGGAGGACGCCTCTCAGGCAGGGGTTCCTCTGACGACATACCTCACAACCCTGGGCGCTTCTGGCTTGTGAACTTGTAAAACCGTAAAGGCATTAACTTTGGTGTATATGGGCTGATAAGGCATACATCTTCAACCCCTTTGTATCAGGCGTAATCTCGCCGCCCTTTTTGAACCCAGGTTCGGACCAGCTGTGGCGAGACCTAAACCCTAAACCCCAAACCGCAGTTTGCCAGGATGAACCTCTGCAAAGGCGAGAGTCTCTCTTTGATTGAGGGCGAAGCCACTACCCATAGTTGTAAATCGAACCCTGTCACGACACAAGGTCTGCACTAGGGCCAGTTGACACTTGAAGTTTCCACATGCCTGTGTCCATATAGACATGTAGATGTCAATGTAACAAACTCTTGCAGATCTCTGGCAAATGATGCTTCGAACCCCTGCTCAGAATGATGGAGGCGGAGAGAACGTGAAAACAATAGCGTAGCCATGCCACCAAAGAATAGCCTCTTGCTCCCTTGAGCGCTATCCTGATTCCGGCCCGAATGAGCGCTCCTCAACTAGGAGACTGGCATTGTCATGGCTACCCTGGGCAATACTGTAATGCAACCATCAGACTGCGAACAAAGCGTCTAAGAATGTCTAGCACATCTTCGCACTAAATGCGCACACACATCGCTTGCAGACTGTGACACGAGAACCTAAGTCTCACATGCCCAGGTGCCAGATTAAGGAATCGGCAAAAAGAACGATCTGCGCCATGCAAAAAGTTAAAACGCCTGAGCACGGGCCTGCCCTCTTGCTACTGTTTGCTTAAGAATCCCCCAAGAACTAAAAAATAATAATCCCTCTATTACCCTTATAAGGAAGAATATTTTCATTTTTTTTGGGGGGGGTTCTTAAGCAATTGGTGGCTTGATGGTTTTCTGGGCCAGGCACAAGTGCAGTCGTGGAGCTTAAGGTCTGCTTCTGCACGGTTTTGTGCACAGGCATGCAGCGGCGATGCAGAGTTCTTTGTTGCAGACTGCAAAACTTATATGATAAGCACACTGTCCCGACGGTCGGACAGAATCTGGCAACACAAGGCCTCAAGTGCGTTGTAGCTCGCTCGGCGTGCTGGTGAGCTGGTTGGGGTTATGTGGCCAGCTTCTGTTTCTGATCCTCATGTCGGCACTTATCTGTACATGTGGCATAAAGCGGCAAGACAAGGCTCACCCTTCCGTGCATCTCACAGGCTAGGACTTGCGCCACCACACAAGCACATTCGAAATACAAAAGACCACAAACTACTGAATCCCAGGTCGGTTGAAGCCGAGAGCGGCTTGCACAAACACAATCTCGACCCTTCTGAAGCAGGCTGTGAGTATGGTCTGCGTGCCTCGCTCCTCTCCATTCTTATGGACACCGAGTTCTGAAATTTGCATTCTCTGACAAGCCCCCTTCTGTGGCTGGAAGACCGTCCTCACCACATCTGTTTTGAGTCAAACCCCACGCCACGCCTCAATCTGAACAGGAAAGGCAGGTGTAGCCCATTCCCTGAAGCGGAACCAATGAATCTGTAGACACACCAACTTAACTGTTCCTGAAACTTGAGGTTGCACCTTTGCGCTTTACCCTATAGGCTTGTTGACATGTGAAGATGGAGAACATCGCGCTTGCTATCCTCATGCATCAGAACGCACACGGTCCTGCTCTAACGACACCCCAAAACACTGCAAGCCGCCTGTTCCTCCACATGGGGAAGCTGTGCGGAAGAGCTGGTCAGCTGCCACGTATAATGTCGAATGCCATTCGATGGCATGTTCAGACTTTCACCGTGCCCTGCTGAGTCTTCCAATGGGCGTAGTTCGCCTCCACTGTCCTGAGCAAACCGATGATCTAACCTTTTGACTGCGGGGTTTGGGGGTCCACCCCTGCACCCTCTTGTTGCTTGCACGCTGAAACCTACTTCACATTGCAACAACCCTTAAGCTGCTCAGCAACAACAACAACCACAGCAACAACAACCACAACCACAACCACCATGACATACCATGACGACGACGACAACGACAACGACAGCAACAACAACAACAACAACAACAACAACAACAACAACAACAACAACAACAACAACAACAACAACAACAACAACAACAACACCAACACCAACACCAACACCAACACCAACACCACCAACACCAAAAAACAACACCACCAACACCAACAACAACACCACCAACACCAACAACACCAACACCAACAACAACAACACCAACAACAACAACCAACAACAACACCAACAACAACACCACCAACAACACCAACACCACCACCACCACC